AGTAACCTTCACTTTACTTTCAAGTGTGAGAGTGATAGTCTTAAAATAGAACCACTGCTTCCTTGAAGCCATAAATGAAGTCACTGCTTGGCTAAACCTTGCTTTTAATCCAGCTTCCGTCTCAAGGAAGAAAAATAATCTGGATTCCTACTTTGAAAATCTGACCCATAATATAAATCAGGGCACAAACAGCAGCACTAGCCTCTATCTGCGGTGAATGTCATGATGAGTCTGAATCGTATTTTCAGGACTGAGTCCAACTGATACAGCTGTTCCTGCTGACTTAACGGAAGAACCTTTCTCCTGTTTTCTGATTTGCCCCAAGGCTTAGCTACAAGAATAATAATACTTGCGTTTTTTTATGTTTTTTTTTTTTTTCTGCAGCACGCGGGCCCCTCACCGCCGCGGAGCACAGGCTCTGGACGCGCAGGCTCAGCGGCCATGGCTCACGGGCCCAGCCGCTCCGCGGCACGCGGGACCCTCCCGGACTGGGGCACGAACCCGCATCCCCCGCATCGGCAGGCGGACTCCCAACCACTGCGCCACCAGGGAAGCCCAATACTTGTTTTTAAAATGCGAATTCATTCACTCTATAGAGTACTCCTGGGTACTTGTTACATGCCGGGTCCCATGCTGGGGTGGGGGACCCTCAGATGAATGAGATGCAGTTCCTGTCCTCACCTGCTGTGACCGCCACATGTTTTTAGCTCTACTCAATGTTTTGTAATAACCTATAATGGAAAAGAATCTGAAAAAGAATATATATATGTATAACTGAATCATTTTGCTGTACACTTGAAGTATAGTTAATTTACAATGTTGTGTTAGTTTCAATAAAAAAACACACACAAAAATACGGACCTCAAATAAGCAAGTTTTTTGAAAAATAAATAAACTTTTTCACTTCTTCAAAACATATTTTAGTTAGGTGATGATAAGAGATGTTTTTAAAAAGTTAATACCAACACTGGAATAAAAATGGGGTTCAAAGAAAATACAAGAATGCAAATGTACTCACTGAAAGGGGAAAAGTAACAGTGATTACATGTCAAATATGGCTATAAGTTTCCTGAAAGCCATGGCAAAACTGTTCCCCATGATAGTCGTATAGCTTTCAGGAAAGCCTAAAACTTTTTCTAGATTAAGTATCAGCATCAGAGTCTCTCTCAGGTGAGGTGGGGGAGGGATGGATTGGGAGTTGGGGATTAGCAGAAGCAAACTATTATATACAGGATGGATAAATGACAAAGTCCTACTGTATAGCACAGGGAACTATATTCAATATCCTGTGATAAGCTGTAATGGAAAAGTATATAGAAAATGTATATGTATAACTGAATCACTTTGCTGTACAGCAGAAACTAACACAACATTGTAAATCAGCTATCCTCCAATTAAAAAAAAATAAGAGAAGTCTGTCTCAGCTTTAGGACTGGAAGGAAAAGTTGCAGTTGAGGCTGGAGCTTCAGATGATGGAGCCCTGACCTCATGTCCTTGTGGAATCCCAGCTTCCCTGATGAGGCCTGGCAGACAGGGAGCAACACCGCTGGGCAGGATTCCAGTCTTTCTGAGTTGGATCAAGGGACTATTACCCCCAGCAATGCCAATACTAAGGCTTTTCACTGGACACTGGCTTCCATTCTCACTAAGGCAAGAAAAGGGACGTGTCAAATTCTCCTCTGTTTCCGGGCGCTTGTGCTCAGAAGCGGCAAAACCATTCGCGCTCACATGTCCTTGGCCAAAGCAACTCACGTGGCCACAGCAAACTAGAGGGGTCGGGGGAGTACAGTTCTTTATGAACCAGAAATGGGGAGACTAGGCATATCTGGTGAAGAGCATCCTTGACGACCACACTCTGAAAGCCTTCCTTTGGATGGGCGTCCTGATCACAGCCTCTTTTCCTCTGCAGAGTATCGCTACGTCTCATTAAAAGGCACCCAGGGCAGATCTGGAGGTGGGGACAAGTTCTGTGGAACACGGACTTGACCTGGGGGAGTGACGGGGCCTGATCTCAGGCTGTTGTCTCCAAGACTCAGATGGCTGACCCAGGAGACAGTAATCCAGGAGTGAAAAAGAAACCAGGCGGCATGAAGGGACCAGACGGAGAGAGAAAGACCTGGATGCTGGGCAACTCGGATAAGAGCAGGAACTTACCCGTCTACCTGCCTGCCTGCCAGCCACAACTGCCTCTTGTGCACTGACCAAGTTATTAGCACAATTCTGCGTTCTGAGGATTTAGAAGGAAATGAGACGGCTGGAGGATGCACAGTAATTATAAAGGACACTGAGTCTGGAGTGTGTGCAGGGACACAGCGCTGACCCGGTCCAAGGCCAGGTGCATGCACCCTTCATTTCCCCGAGCATTTCTTGCACACGTTGCATTTGATACCTGGGACAACTCAATGAGGTATCATTGTCATAACCATTCCACCAACCTGGTGACGGTCCTTCGGGGCATTAGGTAAAGCCACTGGACCCCGATCACACAACTGACCCAAGACTCAGTTCTCTGACTCCAAAGTCCCCTTTCATCTTACTTTTGGACTGTGATGCTGCCATTCTCACCAGAACACAAATACCAAGTGAAAAGTTTCCTGAGTGTAGCTCTTTACTAAGATTGGCGTTTTGCACCTGAGTCCTATTTGCTGTGATTACAAATGTAAACAGAATGTTAATCTAACCATAGACACAGGACGCTTCTTGGATTCTTTGCATGACCCTCAAGGAATTCCTCAAATTGACATTTTACGTTGCCAAGCAGTTTTAGAAAACGGTTACTTTGCTTTGAAACAATCTCTTGCCAGGATACAAGTGGTCTTATCTCGAAAACAGCCCAACACAGATGCCTCAAGATGAGTGAATCCGAATCTGCTTCCTCCTGGTGGGAGGTAAGTCTTAAGGTCAAAATGGTGCCCGCTCTTCCCGGAAGAACATCAACAACATTATGTCAAAAAGAGCTGTCGGGTTCTTGTGGCTACAATGGGACTTCCAGTTACAAAAGACAAAGGTGCTTCTTAAGTCGATTCCCCATGACCTCTGCCACCGCCCCCCCACTAGTTAGGCTAAACTGAAGTTAGTTTAAGCAGTGCTAGAAAAAGGCTTCTAAACCACTGAAAACTATTCCAGGTGTTAGTGGTTTTTCTTGACTAAGAGAGTTGCACAAACGTCCCTCGCTCTTTCATTGTGAGGCATCTAGAGTCCCACGTGCCACTCTGAGCCTGAAGAAAAGAGGATTAAAAAGTGCTGCCTCAAGAAAATAACGAGGCCAAATGTTTCTTCTCTAGTTTAGGATGGTTTTTGCACTTTTCAGGGTAGAATACTGAAACCTCAGAGTATACTGGGTCATAAATACACAGGGGTTGGGTGTTACCAGAGGATGTAAAAAAAGTACCAAAAGAGAACAGTTGAGAGAATAGAATCTTCTGAGTCTACAACACCTTCTAGAAGAACGAAGCTCTGATTCTAAACAATCATTTCTAGTTCTGGAGATTAGAAAAAGCACCAGATGATCATCCCATACTCGATTAGCCAGACAGGTATCCATTCAGTAGTGCCTAAGTCCCTACTTCTGATTCTTCTGTGACTTTCTGGGTTTCAAGAGAGACTCCTCAGGGAAACCATCTATCAGGAAGGGGATGCAGAAATCTGTTCCTTGGTCTCAGTCCTGCGATGTCTCACAAAATAAATGTATCCGTTGGCATTAGGTCCCGCGAAGTCAGGCTGAGGGTTTTGGTACTTCCCAAGGTTCAGGAGCTACCTGTCATTATTAAGATATGAATTCTAGGGGTGGTGGCTCAGCCCCCAGTGACACAGCCTGAATCAGCTGCTGCCCCAGCCATGTCCCCCGGCAACAGACAGCGCCTGCTTCCTGGAGCCCCCCTGCCTCTGGGGCAGCCACGGGGCTGCTCTGGGGTTCAAAGTCAGACGACTACTGGACCTGTACAATCAATCAGTGGCTAGCTAATGGGAGTCAGCATGCTTTTTGGGGGGAAAGCATAGAGATTTTGGAAGTCTTTACTATGTACTACCTGTAAGATTCGCCCGAGTCTCAGTTTCCCTGTTTAAAACTAGGAATAACGATCCACTGTACTAAGGTTAAATGAAATGGTATGTTTTAGTATGTAGTCCAGAATCTGGAACATAGTAAGTATTCAAAAAAAATGTTCGTTCCCTCACATTCCCTCCCGTCTCCATAGGAGGAGGTAAGTTCTACAGCTCTTGTTCACACAGGACCACTTGCTATATAACATTTTCATTGCTTTGAGGTCAATTTAGAATAGCATTGCTGCAAAAACAGAGCCGTAGCAAAAGAGAAGATAAAACATACCTCTGTTTACGGTGACTCGGGTCATGACTCTCCAGCTCAGCAGCCCTGGGCAGAGCTTGGGGTATAAATGACCTTGAATCTGATTTACTTCACTAAGAGCTGAAATTTAAAACCATTCTTTGTGGTGCCTTCAGGACGGTTTTGCTTAAATAGCGCACAATGGCGACATCCTCCTTAAAGGGCCCTTGGTGAGCCAATCAGTTTCGGTCTCATCTACTTCAATGAAAATGGAAAAAAAAAAAACAACATTCCAAGCTGGAGAAGAATCAGGTATGCTTCTTTCCTAGAAACAGCTGTAAAGTGGACCTAAATAGAAAAATCTAGAAATAAACGCAAGGCTGCTGGGAAGATGCTAAAAATTCCGCTGATTCTTTCCCTGACGAGGTGCTATTAGTGCAAAAACTGTCTCAGGCATATGAACTTTTAATCACTAAAGGTCACCCACAGCATATAAATATACAGGGAACCATCTCTCTGTGTGGATATCTATCACACAGCTACCAGTTACTTTTATTCGTGGTTCCACGCAAAGTGTAGTTTTAAGGAAAAATGAAAGCACGTGACAAATCATAAAATGAACATGCTGAGAACGGCATTGCCTTGGTCTGTTCCATGGGATGCCAGTGTCCTAACTTGCTTGGGCACTCTGATTGGCAGCAGATAACCATCAGACCTTGGACAGTTTTCAAAATGCATGGACAGAACATACCATACCACGTGTTGAAATGACACATCATATCAAACTAAATAGGAACTTTCATGAGACGAATAGTGCTACCAGCAGGTGAAATCTGTTACCATTTCGTCCCTTTATCCTCCCCACTCCTAGAATCAGCATATTTCTCTGTTTCAGAGAATGAGGTGTTTGGTGTAATTATGATTTCCAGATTACTGATGTGTAACACTGAAGCACTGAACCCGTTCACTGGAGGCATCTGCGATGTCGAGTTTTCTTAAATGCATCCTGTGTTTCCCGGCCTTGTGAATTAGAAGTGCTAATAAATGCCATCTAACCTCCTCTTAATGACTCAGTTATTCATGAACAAATAGCTATGGAGTTTTAGAGTAGGGAAGAAATTCAGAAATGATTCCGTTCCCCAAGCCCATCCCTCTATATTTTACTTGGACTTCAGAGATGCTGAGTAACTTGCTAATTAATGTCACGTAGGTAGATATTACAGGAGCTCACCCTAAAATCTAGGTTTCCTAATTCCAAACTTTGGGGCTTTTTCTCGTACACAGTAAATCCCAATTATATTGGATTTCTGCTATGTGCCCTTTCCCTTGCCTGTCATATTTTACCCTCAGGTTCACATATACCTCACTCTCTCACCTCCTTCAGGGTTTGTCCACAATTGTTACCTTTTCAGTAAGGTCCTCCCTGATGGCTCTATTTAAATTTGCAACCCTCTCTCTGTTCTCTGGCATTATTTTCACTTTTCTCTGATTTCTTTTTTGTCGACATCATTTGTCACATTCTAACCTTCTATATATGCAATCTACCTTATTTTATTTTATTGTCTTTCTCTTTCTATCACTAGAATGACATCTTTGTGAAGAAAAGGTTTTTGTCTCTTGTTCACGACTGTATTCTGTAACAGTGTCTGGCCAATCATAGGTGCTCAGTGAATATTTGTCAAGTAAGTCACTAGTCTGAATGATTAAACTTCACAGAAGTTTGATAACCAAATAAGTCTGGTGTTACAATGTTTGCAATACGGGGGTTCTGAGTTATTATCTCTTCTTGTTGGTGAAGAAGGTTAAGAAATTGTTTAAAAAAAACAAATTATTTGTTAAGCAAAGTCCTATGGTTAAAAAAAAAGTAAAGTTGAGTTTTAGCTGGTTGAACTGTAGCATAAAATTTCTTTTTAGATGATAGAATAAAATATATGTTGCATTTACAAATATACTTCCACCAAAACTACTGAAAGCACCGATGACTGTGCTATCAATGAAAATAAAATGATGACCTACTCAGGAAAATCCTCTATAAGTGTACCCAAGTGGGTACACAGTGTTTCAGACCGTTTCTGCCCCAAAATGGTCTTGCTTGTTTGGTAGGTAGTTCACATGGCTACTTTAAAGCTAGTTGATGGGAAATCAACAACAGTGTTTGTCAAATCACTCTATGTAAAAACCCTAGGGGTTGCTGGGTAGTTTAAAGAGTAATCTTCAATAAGGGACATAAAAGAGCTTTATAGCAGTGAGTTTCAAAGGAGGATGAGTCTTTGAAAAATTTGTCTGAAAATAATGAATTAAGTTAAGATGTCCTTTGTGGTTTTATTGTAGGGGAGGATTGGAAGGAACTTAACTGTTTAACCGTAAGGAAATAAGTAAATTGCTGACTGGAAAATGGTGCTTCAGTTAAAATGGTAACTAAAAAGACCAGAGAGCAACTTAGAAAAATCCTATGAAATAATATTAAATTCTCGGGACTTCCCTGGTGGTGCAGTGCTTAAGAATCCGCCTGCCAATGCAGGGGACACAGGTTTGATCCCTGGTCCAGGAAGATCCCACATGCCACGGAGCAACTAAGCCCGTTCGCCACAACTACTGAGCCTGGGCTCTAGAGCCCGCGAGCCACAACTACTGAGCCCGCGTGCCACAACTACTGAAGTCCATGCACCTACAGCCCATGCTCCACAACAAGAGAAGCCACCACAATGAAAAGCCAGCGCACTGCAATGAAGAGAAGCCCCTGCTTGCCTCAACCAGAGAAAGCCCATGTGCAGCCACGAAGACCCAACACAGCCAAAAATAAAAATAAATTAAATTTAAAAAATATTAAATTCTTTACATATTTGAAACCACATGTGGTGACTGCAGCCATGTAAAAATATGCATGTGGAAAAACCTGAAGGTGACATTATGAAAATAAGCAAAGTGATTTCTTCATTTTCCCACCTTTGATACTTTATAACTAATAGAATAATAATAAGAGAAATATACTGATTATGGAGCATAAGTGACAGCAGTTCCTAAGGTAACTAAGGAAAAACTGGTTCACATGGAAGGCAATTACTGACATGTTTGGACTGACATTTGAAAGTGATTTCCCAAACTGTGTTCAGAATTTTCCAGATAATAATAGCTGTATTGCCCACACAAAAAAGGACGTGAGACAAATGAACTTATCTATGAAACAGAAACAGATTCACGGACACAGAGAACAGACTTGTGGTTGGCAAGGGGGAGGGGGTATGGGGGAAGGTTGGAGTGGGAGTTTGGGATTAGCAAATGCAAACTAGTATATATAGGATGGATAAACAACAGGTCCTACTGTTTAGCACAGGGAACTACATTCAATATCCTGTGATAAACCAGATTGAAAAGAAAATGAAAAAGAATATATATGAGTATAACTCAATCACTTTGCTGTACACCAGAAATTAACACAACACTGTAAATCAACTATACTTCAATTTTAAAAAAAGGGATGTGTCATTAAATGAGATTTTTACCCCTATTGGAGATTCACGATACAACTATTAACTAAAGGCTCTGAAAATGTCTGTACTAAGATAAATGATTTAGTACACATTATTTTTCCCCTCAATCATTTGACCAAATGCCATTTTTTTCCCCTATTCTACCTATGGATATCCTGAGAAGGACCACTTCCCCAGCACAGCTGGGGAAGTGCACATTAAGCACAGAGCTACCTAGGTTTTCCTCCAGTGAAGTTTCAAATACAAGAAAACGCAGAAGAAATCAAGGGGAAAAAAATGAAGAGAAGTGGCTGAGTAGTAGTCGGGTCTAGGTTGCTTTATCCTTGCAGGGGGTCTGAGAAAGACTGGCCTTACAGTTAATTGCTGGAGTCGGGAGGCAAAGAGGAAACTTCCCTCTGAAAAGAAGAGCCAAATAGAAACCCATCCATGGAGACCTTTTATAGCAGGGCTGAGGCAGTTCCAGAGGCAGATGATCATGTCACACAGTTGGGAGATGAGCCACTTGGAAGTCAACATCTTAGAGATTACAGAACACAGTTAGGAGCTACAAGGAAGGTTCTGGAACCCATGTACTCCCATCATACTCTGTACTCATCACAATTAGAGCATTATCCATTTCTTAGGAATCATTGTAAGCTCCTCCCTTCCTCCCTTTCTCCTCGCCCCCCCGCCCCCGCCCCCATAAGCTTCGTGATGGCAGCAAGCATTATGGTCACTTTTGTATCCATAGTGGTGTTGAATAAGTATACATTGAATGAACAATAGAAAGAGTGAATGAATGAATGTTCTTGTGCTCTACAGAATATTGGACCAGATGATTTCATTTTTTTCCAACTGCAGCTCTTTAATAAAATAGTCCTTGGGCTTCCCTGCTGGCACAGTGGTTAAGAATCCGCCTGCCAATTCAGGGGACACATGTTTGAGCCCTGGTCCGGGAAGATTCCACATGCCGCCGAGCAACTAAGTCCATGCGCCGCAACTACTGAGCCTGCACTCTAGAGCCCACGAGCCACAACTACTGAAGCCCGTGCACCTAGAGCCTGTGCTCCGCAACAAGAGAAGCCACTGCAATGAGAAACGTGCGCACTGCAATGAAGAGTAGCCCCCACTCGCCACAACTAGAGAAAGCCCGCGTGCAGCAAAGACCTAATGCTGCCAAAAATACATATATTTTTTTAAAAAGTCCTCAATCAATATTCCACATTTTCATCAGATTAGAAAGTACTAGAATAATTGTTCTTAACCTTTCCCTAATTTCTGCTTTGCTCGTTAGTTTAAAATTCATATTTATTACTGATTTCATAATGCATGACATTGTAAAACATGCAAACATTTGATGAAGCTAATTCACCTATCAACCGTGATGCTGGAAACTGTAGCTGGTTTGGCATGCAAGATCATTGTCTTTGAGGTCTTTCTATTTTAGGAAATATGGATTACTTACATTATTTTTTGTGGCTGCAGAGGATTCCATAAAACGGTTGTACTGTAAGTTAATTTTCCCTTACGGATGGACATTTAGGGGGTTAACACGATTTGCTATTATGGGAAATGTATTCTAGATGAGATACTGAAAAACAAAATTGTTTTATCATAAATTTAAAATTTGAAATACTGCCAAATTGTCATCCCCCAAAATGCCTCATTAAATTTACATTGCTGCCAGCAACGTAGAGCATATGCATTTTCTATACTTGTACCAAAATATTTTTATCGAATTAAATTTTTCCTAATAATTTGAGTGAAAAATGGTATGTTATTTTGCAGTTCTCAGATAACTGCTGACGTTTAGCAAGTTTTTTATATAGAATTTGTCACTGTTTTATATTTTCAGTTAATATATTTTGAATTATATTAAAAATACAAAAACCATGTCATCACTATAAATTATCCAGCCTTACTGCCTTATTGTAAGTAAGACTGAACCTTTAAGTTCTTCACAAAAATACAATTATCTATTCATGTGGTGCTGAAAGATCGCCAGTGCTCCAGGTTTTAGAATCTTCCTCACTGGGAGGCTGCAATCCTTCAATACCTTACAGAAAATTTGATCACCTTTCTGGACAAACAGTTCTTACTTCAAGACAACATCACTTCTTCCACTTTCTAAGTGAATCGCCCCTCACTCACGTTACTGTCTCATGGATAGAGAATACGTGTCTACTTCTACAGCGTTTAGGCCTAGCACAGGGCTTTGGTACATTGAGAACAAATCTATTACAGTTGTTATAGATGT